TCATAGAGAACTTTTCCCGCTGGCGGCGCAATGGAAAACGTTGATTGATTTTGTGTTGGCCTTCGTTGACAGACAGCTGACAGTCCTTGCGGGAGGGAGGTAGTATGCCATGACTTATGGTTCCGCCTTCCTCGTGGTTGTGGCTATTGCTTAATTAAAGTGGTAGCACGATGGATGGACGGACTGGTACTCATTATCAGCACTTAATCAATCTAAAGAAGTTGAAAGCGTTTGTCTAGAATGAAAAGTGGTAAGGATTGACATCAAGCGATATAAATAGATGTCATATCATCAAGAATTCAACAACTTTCACAATTAAATTGGCTCTCAAAGACCCCTCATTGTTTACATGTATAGGGAAATATATAGGGATCACACCGATCCATAGAGTCCATCCCCTTTTGGTTATGCAAATATTATTCTTAATTTGCTTCACAAACCGCCAGATTCCGATGGCTGTGCGATGATACAGGTGTGCGCCGCATCCGTATCCGGGCATGAAACCAACATTGCCGTGGCCGTCGGAGCAAAAACAAATCACAGGCACTGTTTGAAACGGAAAAGTTTTTAATGAGTTGCGACAGGGCCACAACCAGAGGGCGAAAGATGTGCCGGCAGGCAGCACTCACTTGCGGGCGCTTTTTTCCAATAATTTAACGCGCGTTGCGTATACGCAGCGTAAACGTAGCCCAAAACGCAACCGCACATGCCACTTGCTGCACAATCCAATCAAAAGTTTACAATTTACGCTCGAAATGTTGCGCCTGGAACGCGACACACATTGATAGGCGTCCACCCCCGTCCGTCCGCCCACGGCATCAGTATCTCTTACAGACAGACAGTCTCCCTATTGCTCTGTTTCTCCGTCTCTCTATAGCTCAGTAAGTGAGTGCAGGGCGTACAAAAAATGTATTCATCGCTTTAAATACTTTTCGTGCATGTATGTGCGGGAAAAAGTTTTTCCGTCTAGGCCCGGCTGTGAAGCGTGTCAAAGCCGCTTAGCAGCCTCAACGGGAAAGCGGAAAACCCCAAAAGAAAAGCTCATGCCACAGCACAGCAATCTCCGTTCCGAGTGCCCAGTGTATTCATTTTCTTTGATGATTATGATTTAAGATAATTGCAGGCCCCTCCCCGCTTGTACATCTTTATATATACATATATACATCTTGATATGTGGATACACATGTTTTTACACTCAATTACAATTTACTTAACTCTGCAGCAGTTTTATTATGCAAAATGTTCGAAGTAGCAGGAGAGAAAGGGAGAAAGGAGAGTGGTAGTCCAGAAGACACATACAATCAGGGACCTTTGACCTGGACATCGGGAAAGGGTTCATGGGGCTATCCAGGCCAATAATTAATTACTTTCACATGCACAAAGGCGGATGTCGAGTATTGATACGGTTGTAAGGGCATACAGCATGAGGATATGAGTGTGTGCATTCGAATGGTAATCAGAGTCCTGCGAGACCCATGGAGAAATTTTGGATAGTAGGAGATCACCCTCTAACGGTCGATGGATGCCACAAACCCCCACTTAGGTATTCATTGCACACGACAGCTGCAGCAACGAAGCTCCGGCCAAGTGGCAGACACGCCTCCTTTGGAAACGCGAAGCCCGGTTGTATTGCCTCTCTGTGGCCGCCGCTGACGCTCCTTGGCAACTGCTGGTAGCGACATCGTGGCGCAACTGCAACTCTATTAGGATCCATCAATGTCAGCCAATTTATGCGCATATTAAAAATGCGGTCTGCCGATGACAAACACAGGACGATAGCACACACGCAAGGATGGTAGCTAGGATGGTTGCTAGAGCCCATATATAGAGCCCGGTATAGGGACGTGAACTACTGGCGTCACGACGCACGTGGCGCGTACAATGGCAAACATATGACGATGCGCAAAATTGAGGAACAAGTCGCAAACGTGACAAAAGCAGAAGCTGCACACAGAAGCAGAAACCGAAAGACGCACATGGAGCACTCCGAAGCACACTGAACAAAAATAGAATGGACTGCATTGAAGGAAAGGAGGGTTCTACTGAAAAAGGCAGGAAAGCAGGTGCCTCGCTTAACGTTGGGAGTGGAAATTTACTCTTAAAGAATAGCCGTGCTACAGTGAAATTTATCTTATTGAATCTTTGTTTTATGAACAAAATTAAAAGTAAGGAAAGTTGGTTATTTTCTTGAAAATACATATAGTAACTTTCTGAGAAGGATATATCGGAAAGACATCGATCTCTTGGCTCTTTGAATCGATCCATCATTTCACTCATAAACATAACTTTTTATCAACAAAAGTTGTTCAATTTATATCTCTTTTTTTGTGGATAACAAACTAGTTTTTCCAAGTGACAGAAGTACATACATATATCTAGAGCTTTGGCTACATAAAATGTAACTTTAATGCAGTTCAGTCAAGAAGAGAACGAGGTGGAAAGATGGGCCGCCACTGATGCGATTAGTGTGGGGGGGGGGGGGGTGGTGGTTGTGGGGGCATGCTCCCGCCCACAGGAGCAGAGGAAGCACACTCCGATGCCAATTATGACAAATGCATAGAATCGAGTTGAACTGAATATCCTTATCAACGAACGCACCAGGTACACCAGTCGAATGGGTATTTCCCCCTCGGCTTATCGCCGAGGAACAGGTGTGAGAGTCCATTTGTGTGTGGATTTGTTATGGGATCCCCTCCCCCTCGGACAGGAGCACTAGCAATGCTCCACAGAGGTTGAAACTAGACAAAATTTAAACTTAATTTGCTCCAGCAGCGCCACAGGGTTTCATTTTAAAGATTATAAATTCTACTGGTCAAAGGACCAGCTCAGCCAGAGATAGTACAAGATTGACCAGGAGCCACCACAGCACACATCAAAATGCAATTCATTAACTTTATAACCTCAGAAATGAGTTGACCGCAGACCAATAAAACCAGAATGAAATATTTACCAAAAGGTTGGATCTTGCTTGTCGCCAATGCAGCCAATTGAAGCTATGGAAGTCAAGCTGTGACATTCTGTACAAATACATATCCAAACGAATATATGTACAAGTGTATATAAGGATTTGTATGTGTGAATGTGGTGAGCCTTTTGGGTTTCGTTGAACGAGAAAGCAGAGAGAAACCATTGAAGGGAGACCATGTGAAAACTGGAACTGACACAATAAGGATGATTATGGCAAGACCATAGAATAATTATTAATTCCAATCAATTTTATCCACCCACTTACACACTACGCCAACGGATGCGTATACGTTTACGTATAGAAAGGAACATAAATTTCGATCGATTGCATTTAAATTGCAATTTGTGGGGAGGCCACAAGATGCAAACCAAAGATTTATTTCAGGAGATAGGAAAAGTCATTGGCTGTAATATTTAAAGAGTTCTCAATAATATGATAGCCAAGGAAAACAATTTGTGTATTAAGATAAGAAGGCTAATAAAGTGTGCATGGATAGGAAGTATTAAGAAGAAATTTTAACAATTTTATTGCCCGTTACAAATTACACTATGCCACAGCATTTTTAACTTAATTTCTTTAAGGATGATTCAAAATCGATTACTGCTTAACTATGCGATAGCTTGATTAGCTTTACGATAACTGTGTAGATCGTTAGCTAAACTTACTCCAAGGCAATTCCGTATCAATTCTAGAATCTTTAATAGCAAAACGGCATTGTTAGCTCCATTTTGGTAGTTTATCTCGTTGTAATAGACCATGTTCGACTCAAGCTTTATTCTATGTACTCGTACATAGATTGTTAGGCATCGAACCTTCGATTGTGTGCTACCCATAAATATGTAACGCACTGTCTGTAGCTGGCATGGGACTGCAGAGCTCTTTAATTTATGCAAATTTGACCCACAGTCAGGCTATGGGGGCTGTGTGTACTTCCCATTGTATTTGCCCCCCCACAAAATGCATTGTTCCATTCACATATACGAGTCTCCCCCATACATACACATATGTGTATGTGTGTTATGTTTGTTCTTGTTTAATATTTAAACAATCATTTGCTGTTCCGTCTCTCCTCCACAGCGAGAGGCTGCCATGGAGGACATGTCTGTGCTGAAATTTGGGTCATGGCGAGAGCATTTGTTATGATTATTATTAACCCTGTTGCTGTTGCTGTTGCTGTTGCTGTTACGAGCAGCAGCAGCAGCAGCTCTCAGCTCCCAGCCTGGGTATTAGGCTAATTTTGTTGTATATATTTCACACAATTGAAGTTTGTCAGCTTAGGATCTAGTGAGCTGTCGATCTACAAAAATTACATACCCCAGAGGCCCAATGGACAACAGTGCGTATGGGCAATGTAAGAGCCATTAAAGAATTAATCTTTTGGTTTGCTTTCGGTTCGGTTGCATGGCTCATTGAGCCCACACTCACTCGTAAGTAATTCCATTCCGACTCATTATCTCATTTGATTTGATTTGTCGTTAATCAAAACATAACAAAGCTGCACACACAGCTCCAGCGACTGTCAAAGACAGGCCAGACATGTCCTATATATAGACGTATGTACATATGTGTCTGCCTGTCTGTTTGTTAAAGACAAACAGAGTACCTCCAGCTGGCGGTGTGGCCTCCCCTTGTGCACAAACTTTCCACTTTGCAATTTTCACGCACAAAATTACACAAATCAGTGGACAAAAATCAGCAAACATTTGCCAAATATTAACCAAATTATTTAAGTACGAGAAAAACGCATTTAACATTGCTTTGCCAACAATTCCGAGCCTGGGAAAACTCTCCGTTCCACGTAAAACGCCAATAAACTGCGAGCGTCAAAGTTTTTCCGCTGAAAAAAAGTTGGAAAAGTTGAAGGCGCCTGTGAGGGTGGGTGGAAAAGTGGAATTTTCGACACATATTTTGGGTGCGTGCTCATGTGGGAGTTTTGACATCAAACTAAATGCAGGTGCTGCGCAGAGGAAAAATAAACTCAAATTTCATTGCCTAAAATATTATTTTTCAGCTTAGATTTCTATTCTTTTAGGCCTCCAAAATATCCCCCTTTCAACGAGTCATTCCGCATCATCCGCCTATCAGTTGATATTTCCCACAGCTCAAGTTAAATTAAGTTTATTATGTTTTTGGAGCCGAGGGTACGGATACCCCAAGCATGTGTGTGCTGCCAAGGAAAGTGGCACATTGCCAGCAGAGGGCAATGGCAGCGGCAACGGACAAAAAAAAAAGGAAAATATAGAGGGAAAAAATACCATGGAGAAGTAGAATACACATCGCGGCCTTATCATTGCACATTTCACTGTTGGTGTAACAATTACGCCAAAGCCAACAACAACATTTGGCAAACATTCAAAAATGCCAGTAGCCAAAATATACAGACACCACACACACACACACACACACACACACACAGACCCCATCTATGGAGGAGAGCAGAACCCCACTGCTTCCGACGCCCTGTTTTCCTGCTACAAATGTTTTTGATAATATGCAACAATGCAACAAACTAACCAACGAAAGCTTTTACTGTACACACATACATATCTACACATTTACGTACATATGTATATGTGTTCAGGTATACATATATTCATACATAATTGCTTTGTTTACTGGGGTTTTTGTGGAGACATAAGGTTTTCGGGCAGGAAATTGGCACACAGACCCCTTCCTTTTTTAGTCTCAAACCTCTCTCTCTCTGTCTCGCTTGCTCTCGCTATGGATAAACCCAACGAATGGGGTCGCCACCGAAATGCAAAACGGAAACCCAAGGACCTTGCCCCACAGCCAGAAGGCGCTGCGGCTTTGCATATACTCGTTCTCGTACGTATCTCCATCTCCCCTATATACACATGTACGCGGATTAATCTGCATAGGCATTAGCCGCAAATAACTAGAGTTTAAGAAAAAGCGAAAGCTAGACATTCTCACAGGAAAAATATGTACATACTCGTACCTTTGTTTAATGTTCGAAAAAATTAAAATACATTCTATTCGCAATTACTATTATCGTTAAGTGCTATTTGGTAGTGGCTTTAATTTTATCCGCATTCTTTATGCACTTGGTATTATTGTTGTTAGTATTCTTGAACATTTTCATATCAATTTTACAATTCCATGGATATTTTTTCTTAAGTGATCTGTGCCGTATTTCTACCCCGTTTTTTTACTTTAATTTTTGTAACTTTAGAAATTCTTTCAATCAAACCTATGGTATTTTGAAGTTTGGTATTTTAAATCTTTCCTATAAGTGCCGTATTATTATTTTTACAAAATGTTTTATTATTGTTTATTGATTATTTATTATTATTATTTACTTTACTATTAGTTATTATTATTATTATTTTCAAAATTTGTTTAAATATTATTATGTAAGAAAAGAAGAGTTATTCGTTCTTGAAGGTAACAATTAGTATATGTTCATGTTATCGTAAAATAAGGCTCAACTAATGACTTTGGAACGTAATTTATATGATATACAAACTTAAACACAAAGTCAATCAATACAAATTTCAACGGCAGCTCCCAGAAACAAATTCACCTTTAAATATTTCTAAAATAAACAAAAACTGAAGCTTTGAATAGGAAAACTTTAAAACAAAGTCAATCAATACAAAATTTCAATGGCAGCTCCCAGAAACAAATTCACCTTTAAATATTTCTAAAATAAACAAAAACTGAAGCTTTGAATAGGAAAACTTAAAAACAAAGTCAATCAATACAAATTTCAATGGCAGCTCCCAGAAACAAATTCACCTTTAAATATTTCTAAAATAAACAAAAACTGAAGCTTTGAATTGGAAAATAGGATTACATTAAAATTGCATAATAAGAGCTATATTTGAAACTTAAATAAGTGCAGTCCACTCTTAAGTATTGGCCCCATTTCGCTTACCTTGACAACCAGTCAAACATATGTACATGCTCGTATGTATGTTTTTTCATAACATACATATTTAATATTGAAAACAAAATCAATGAATAATTTGCCAGCTATAGTATGTATGTATGAATTTTTGTTTCTGAGTTTTTGTTTTGTTTTTTGTGCCAAAACCTGTTCTATGCATAAACATTTGGAAAATGGAAATAATAGAAGCTTTTCCAGTGGCAAAAACAAAAAACTTTAAGTGGCAAATAGAAATGCATTAAAATTGCATACCGCTGACAGCCTGAGGGGGCGGCGACTGCAACAACAATTTATTAAATTAATTTTGGTTTAACATTACAAATGCCATTAAGGAGTGAAAAATTGTGCGTAGCGTGGGATAAATTTAAAATGCTAATTGCATTTGAGAATAAATCTCATATGGCCATATATTTCAGGGACGTACACGGACATGGACACAGCCCCCCGCACACACACACAAACACATCTGAACGGAAACTTTGTATGCTCGTATAAATGCTCTTCATTAACGTTGCTGTATGGAATAGTAATGTAAATTTCATTAGGAATGCGATACGCAAATGAGGTCAAATAGTCAGAGTCCAGTATCCTTCCAGCCCGGGAATCGGAGTCAGAGTGAGAGCTAGAGTGTTTCTCCATTTGATCCACATCATCAGCATTTGGCTGTCATCCCACTCTCTTTGCTTCGTTGAATTGCATTTAATTGCAACATACTAGGAGTGTTTTCCCAAGGAAAAAGGGATAAAAAAAGCAAAAGATGGAATAAGTAAGCAAATGGAAAACAATGCCAGCCAGCAACTCTGGCATTCTTTGAGAGCTGCAAAACAGTTGATCCGAAACTACCAGTCGCATCCGCACTCAGAACTCAGGCTGGGTGTCAGTTTCAAAAGAAGAAATAGGAATCCATCCGTATGGGTTGCAGTCAGGGGATATGGGGGATGTTTGTGTGTAAACAGGCAATAGGCAAAAACCAAAGCTAAAATACAGACACTGGTCCAGAGGCAAAGAAAGGATGAGCGACAGAGCGACAGTGTTTCTTTGTCTTACACAAAAAAAAACATAACCACAAAAATAGAGAGCACAAGACAGAGATTCGAGCCTTGGCATACCCTTGAATACTAATAAAAGGTAAATGCATACAATGTTTAGAAATTGAGCATCTATTTCTTGTAGGGTTGACTGGACCAGTGGAGGATATTTACACTCGTACACCATTTCATTCACTTTTATTCTACATACTCGTATACGTAGCAACATTACGCTTGACTGATACCTTTTTAGAGGGTGCGAATCAGCAGGAAATGAAAGACAATCCTTACTCTTGCTCGTATAGTGTTTCCCTATCTTACCAGCTCCATCTCTCACATACCGCTTCTTTTCTAGTCTCGTGTTTGTTGCATGTCAAGTTAAATGCTGTCACTGCACAAAGGCACACTCGTATCCAGATGTGCTATAAAGATGACTGGATTTGATACTGTTCTACTATGAACCACATAAAGTGCACATGGCTATGTGTGTGTGCGGCTGATCTACTGAAGTGTGCCAAATGAATTTCCGTAGAGCAATATTACATTGTATAATAGATTTAGGATAAAGATAATTCTGAAATAAGTAATAGTATTACTTGAAATGTTGTTTATGCTCTAAAGAAATTCATTAAAGATCCTGATAGATCCAAGAAATACTTACATGATAAGATAAGGCTTTTCAAAAGATATAAAGTTTCCCAAGAAAATTCCAGCCAAAGATCCTATCCGCCTAGAGAACATTTCTTATTCGACCCATGTCCATTCGAAGACTCATTTGGGGTCGTACTAATCGCTGACATTTGTGAGCAGAAGATATAGCAGAGTAGGGAGCACTGTGTAGCCCATTAATTGGGGGAGTCATCGATTTCGACTTAGGCTCAATTAGACACGCCCCCTGAATGACCAACTGTAACGGTTCACAACGCACTAATTGAGAGATGCTCGCTCGCCTCCGTGCATGGCAATCAAAGAGGCGTGGCACTTGTCAAGTGTGTGGCAACAGTAAATTATTAAATCATCGATGTCCAGGTCGGGCTCTACCCCATTTTGGGGGTATATATAAGAGCGGAAACACAGTAATGACTGCAATCACAATGGAAGGTCCCGCGAAAACACCATCAACAGTGGAGAAAGCGGAAAAGTCGGAACCCATTACAACGGAAAGGTTCTTAAGGTATGCAAACATATTTTACCTGTCCATAGGAATGGAGGCCTACGACCATCAGGGGCGCCGAAAGATGATCGAGCTCATTCTCCGCTGTATATTTATCGCACTCATCTTGAACCTGAATGCCGTGCTCCTTTCCGAATTGATTTATGTATTCCTGGCGATTGGAAAGGGCACAAACTTCCTGGAGGCCACGATGAATCTATCTTTCATTGGCTTCGTGATCGTTGGGGATCTCAAGGTGTGGCACATCTGGCGGAAGAGGGATCAACTCACCAATGTCGTGCGGGAGATGGAGAAGCTGCATCCCAAGGAGGAGCATCACCAGAAGGCCTACGACGTGGAAAGTCATCTGAGTGGGTATAGTCGCTACAGCAAGTTCTACTTCGGCATGCACCTGGTGCTGATCTGGACGTACAACCTCTACTGGGCCGTCTACTATCTCGTCTGCGATTTCTGGTTGGGCATACGCCATTTCGTGAGGATGCTCCCCTACTACTGCTGGGTTCCATGGGACTGGAGCACCAACTCCAGCTACTATCTGATGTACGTGTCCCAGAATATGGCGGGACAGACGTGTCTTTCAGGACAACTGGCCGCCGATCTGATGATGTGCGCTCTCGTCACTCTGCTGGTGATGCACTTCATTCGCCTGGGCCGTGGCATCGAGGAGCATGTGGCTGGGTTACTAACACCGCAACAGGATCTGGAGTTCCTTCAGGCAGCTGTCGTCTACCATCAGCGGCTCCTGCAGCTTTGCCACAACATCAACGAGATCTTTGGCGTGTCACTGCTCTGCAATTTCGTGTCCTCTGCATTTATCATCTGCTTTGTGGGCTTCCAGATGACAATTGGTGGAAAGATCGATAATCTAGTGATGCTTGTACTCTTTCTGTTCTGTGCCTTGGTACAGGTCTTTATGATCACCACCTACGCACAGCGATTGCTTGATGCGGTGAGTGGGGAAAGGTTTCATTTACTCTTCTTCAGGTCTTACCCTTACCTTTCTTTGCAGAGCGAGCACATAGGTGAAGCTGTCTACAATCACGACTGGTTCCAGGCAGACCTTCATTATCGGAAAATGCTGATTTTTATGGTAAGGCGATCCCAACAGGCTAGTCGCCTAAAGGCCACCATATTTCTCAATGTATCGCTGGTCACAGTCTCAGATGTAAGTTTTGGACTGCAAAATGTCTTAGCATCAAGTTGATTCCCTTTCTTTCAGCTCCTACAATTATCCTACAAATTCTTTGCCCTTTTGCGGACAATGTATGTGAAGTAGTTCAGTCAGACCAAAGACAATATAAATAGCGAGATGAGTAACGTCTCTCGTGTGACTCATGTGGCAGCAGCAAGCATCTTAGCTATGACTGCCTCTATGTGTTAGGCCGGCCGTCGAAACATACCCTTTAGTTTAGTACATTTCTCCTTGGTCAAACTTCCTTGGGAGAGTGTGAGGACTGATGCCCCCACTAAGCAGCATGTGGCAGTGACAATACGAGCATGGAAGCGGAATCCACCAAATCATCGTTCGGCAATAACTTACGCGAATTGCCGCAAAGAGTTGTGGCTTCTAATTAAACTAAACCGAGTAGACGGGTGGCAATGAGTAGCGCGAATCGGACTTAACATGGCAACGTAAATGGGGAATCGAAGAGCGGTCATTTAACCACAGAAGCAATGATTAATTATCGGCATTTCGTCTGCACAAAGCACAGAGCAAGGGGGGGGGGGGGGGGGGGGAATGCAGGACAAAGCTTTGGCACTGCTCTAAAATTAGCGCAGGTCCCACCTTGCCCTTTAGTCGCTCTCCATCACGGTTTGACCCCATCTCTTGCTTCTCTCTCTCCGCAGCTCTGACCCCACCTCTTGCTCGGCTTGAACCTGCGATTCACCTTGCACAATCGCTCATTGGTTTTCCTCCTCGTTGCCAATTTAATTAAAGATTTCCCAGTCCAACCTATGCATGAAAATTGCTTCCATCAAATCAGGGCTGTAGCTGCAAGGGGGAGTTCCACGATTCTGTGGTTCATTGGATCTGGTTCAGCTCATGGATCAAATTAGAGCTCAAAAAGCTCTACAATTTTGTAGAAATTTTGTTTTTTTCGATGAGCGAAACAAATAGAAGAACTCAACTATTTTTGAGCTAGTGGTTCACATCCTCTCTACTTTCATACCTGTTCCACCTAACGTGTCTCATACATTAATTTATGAGTGACTTAACTGTGATTCTTTGACGCATTCCATCAGTGAACTATCCCAATTGAATTCCTCTAATATTCCTATTGCCTTTCCCTCCCTGCTTTCAAGTCAATCATTTTACAGGCATTTAGGCAGGGCGCCCGAACTTATGCAGCACACAAAAGTGATTGCAAATATCTTTCTCTGCCTGTGAAGTGGCTGGGCTGGCAAATTGCAATTTTTTTTATGAATATTTAATTGAAAAGTTGACACAAACAGACAACAGGGGCGTCGGAAGAGCGAAGGGAAGGATGTCCGTTGAGGCTAATTACATTTCTACGGCTGTCCTGCCGGACGAGAGAAATGATAGTAGCTGGGCGGTGGTGGAAACCTGCCCTGCGTCAGATGGATGGCAAAATTGAAGAATTTTTTCAATTAAAATTACTACAAAACGAAGAAGTCAGCCGACAACCAAATGGCAATCAAATCGGCCAAGTCAGACGCCGGATTGGAGTGGTCGGGGCGCTTAGGGCACGGCTCACAGTCACGCCCTAATCTAATTAGAAATAACACGCGTCACGAACTTGACTCTGATGCGGAGGCGGACGGACCCAAAATGAGGATGCGAATACGAATGAATGTCGATGTAGCCAATGCCTATGGAAATGTGCTCTAAATAGTTTCGACTAATTTCATTTGCGTTTGCAGTTTTCGTTTTGCCGAAAGTTGGTAAAAGTTTTTTTGGTCGGACTGTCAGGCCCAGTTCCAGTTCCAGTGGTTCCTCATGGCTGAAAGGATAGGTTGGGTCCGGGGCCAGACCGCATGGGACTCTCTCATTGGGTGCTATGCCGCCATTAATCAAAGTAATTGCAGCGACACCAATGACAGCTAGGAGAAAGGTGAAATTGCTTTTCATCACCTCCACACACACATAAGGTTGTTGCTAATTAAAATGCAGTGCAGGAGGATAGAATATAGCATGTGATCAGGAGGAATCTATAAACAGTTTCGGAATAGCTCTATTTTTTGGTACACCATTTTTTCAGGGTGGCAAAAGTCAGACCCCTCATTCCATCGTCGTAATTTGACTTTGGATCTGACTTTGAATATGTTAATGATAGATGTATCTAATCTGAGTACCTATCGGGTATCTTAGTGTCGCGGTACGGAATTCGTCTCTAAACGTTTCTTTCAGCATACAATCTAAATAGTGAATCTCAAACTTTGCTTTGTTATTTTAAAGTTCTTTAACAAACTCGTATCTTAGTTGAATCTTTTCCATTTTCCAATAGTTGGCCAAACAATCGTTAACAGTAACTCATGCACTCCCCCTCCCCATCCCGTTTCCTCTGTTCCGGTACGGGACTCATTCAATTTATATTTATACATTGCCCAAAGTCAAATAAATTAATTCGTGCATCCAAACTTTTGGACATACTTTTTGTGTGAATGTCTCTTTTCCTCCGCCTCTCGCTCTCCTCCGCCTCTCATATCACAGTGAAAATGGAGCAAAATGTAAGTCGAACTCTGGGAAATATTGGCTTTTAAAAATGTCAATATACGAAGCCATCGTGCGCTGATTTGGCAAGAAAATTGCAATTGCAATTGCAACCAACTTTTTTGCGTTGTGCTGTGCTCTGCTGTGCTGTGCTCCATCGTCGTTCCCTCACTTGCTCGTTGAGAAATTGTATTTCGTTTCATCAAATGAAGAAAAATCGTACATTTTTATAAGGCCAGTGCGAGGGAGGCTACCATTGTCCAGAGTTTGGCGCCACAGTTGCTGCTGATGCTCCTGCTGCTTCTCGTTCTTTTTCTTCTCCTGCTGGGTTCTGTATTGTAGAAAAGGAGCAGAGGAAGTACTACGTCACTTTGTTATACCCTATCAGGGAGGTAGGATGTTTTTTAGTGGCTGTTGGTAATGCAAAGAAATATCCCGAACGATCGGTCAAATATATTTTATTGTGGAAACAATTTGTTTGCTTTTAAAGATTTTTAAAGATTAAATTACTTTACTAAGTATAATAAGGTATTCTATATCTGATCTATATATAATGATCAACCATCGATCGCCCATTTAATGTACCTTCTTACCTCCCAGCTAAATTTGATCTAAATGGAAGTCCTTTAGGTATTCCATTGATTCAAGAATTTATGCCAGACTCGTGGATTTCATGGGTCGTCGGTGCGCCGAAAATACTAAATATCACGATGATATAAGCAAATATTAAAATGAAAACCAGAATTCAATCCACATGAGTTTTCCAAGGGGTATCAACGGCTTGAACCGAACGATACTCTTCCTTGTCTTTCCATGTCTGTTATTGAATTTGACATATTTCTTTACAGTGTATACATGTGCACTGGGGTGTGCACTGTGTGTGTGTGTGTGTGTGTGTGTGCAGGTCCATGTGTGAACAGCGTTCGGCCAAGGGATTAGCGTCATTGCCATTTTTGGCGCATTTTTCATGTGCCCTAAGCTCCGCTAGTCGGATGCGACTCATCTCCTGCCCCCACCCCTACCTCTGCCCCACTCTCCGCCACTCCTACATCCCTCATCTTACGGGTATATATTAGTGTGACTGCAGTTTCGCCCATGATGTGTGCGTATCTGTGTGTATGGATATGTATTTGTCAATTTTCACTCACTTCATTTAAGTAAACACATTTGCTGCATTTCATATTTCCAGTCACGTTCCAGGCATAAATAACACACAGACACACTCGCACACTCGCACACATGCGCCGAGAAACGTAACGGGACATATGCGTATTAGTGCGGGAATCTAGATATATCGTTCCTGTTCTCACTTTCAGTTCCTCCAAATTGAAAGGAAGTGAAATTCAAGATGAATTGTTAATTGATTTCGCGAGCTTAATCTTTGAGGACCCTTGAGCGATCCTATTAAGCCTTTAAACTGCGAAAGTCTATATAATTTAAGATTAGAACGTTTGAAGGAGCTTTCATGGCACCAAAATAGTCGTATTTTGAGGAATCAGAGTCATGTACAGCCATGATTCCATAGATATTTATATATTGCATATATATAATATTTGTATCATCTTATTATCTAGCACAATAGATGTCCTTGTAAACAGATATCCTATCTTATTCCACTTTACCACAAATTTGAGCGAAATTTAAATTGAGAACACGACTCTACTGCATTTTGGCTTCACTTTACGTAGAGTTGTCGAGAGGTCGTGCCGTGGCAGGGGTCGCGTCGTCTAATACTAAACTTATGTACTTGTAGTGGAGTCACAAGAGAGGGAGTCTGTTGACAATCCATTTTGGAATATCCCTTACCCTCACACATTCCTATCGTACAAGAAAATGGCTTTCAAAAATATTGAATCCAGCGTTTTGAAGGCAACTCAAATTTAATTTAAGCACAATCCCTACAACCTCTGCAGCACCACCATTGTGGCTGCGTTCTTTTCCTGTTTTTTTTTTTCGGCGGTAACTGCTGCCAACAAAAGTTCTTGGCAAAAATATGTAGGTACATATGTCTGTATGCATACCCATAATTAACGATCCCTGGTCAATAGCTAAGCAATTTTCAGAGCCCCAGCGAAATATTTGCAGCTGCTGCAAAGAGAGTTGGGGCGTGGCGCCACCATCGTCGTCGTCGTCTGGCTGCCAGCAAGCCGCAGGAATTTAAATTAAATCAAAATTGCATCGAATCTGCTAGCGATGAAGCGGCTATGGGCCAGAACTCCAAAACAAAAGTAAATCTTTGATGGTTTGTTTGGACGATGGAATATCTTTTGCAGTGAGTTTGAAAATATTTATACCTCCTTTTTTGAGGCAAAAAGGATAACAGTTACGTCTTGATTAAAGGCAAATATTCTCATAAATTAAGTAAAATTGAAAACAGCAGCTTCGAGATCATTGATCACTATAGACAAAACGTTGTCCAAAGGAAGAGAATAAGAAAGTCTCAGATAACCGCTATTTATTATTGTCGGTAAAGGAAAAGGAAAGGATTTTCGAATCCTTCTTCGGTATTTTAAGTTTATAAAAAGCACACAGTTTTTGAGTACTTCTCAGAATGCGGCAGATAACATTTAAAATTGTTTGTCCTCTCTTAGTTGCATTTACATTCTCGTTCAAGTGAATTGCCCAGCAAATATCAACTTTAAGGCCAATTAAATACGTACGCAGGGTCACTTAATATTGGGCCAATAAAGCACTAATCCTAAGTGACATGACCAACCAATGAAAAGCTATCGATTTCAATGCAGGCTCCAACGATTTGCAATGATTGCATTTTTCAGCTTTTACAGCAGCTTAAAGCATGTTGATTGCTGCTTGTGGGGACGGAGAATTTAAATTTCTTAACGCCCACAAAATGGTAAGCTTTCAAATCCAAACAATAAATATGAAACAAATGCTCCAGCAGTAGCAACAATAGGAGTAGGGAGCAGAAAATAACAGGAGCAGGATAACAATGGGAATTTTGTAGTTGTGGAAGCAAAATTTTCCATATTGCTGAAATGCAATTGGGAAATGCTGCTTACAGGCTTCCCTCCCACCGCCGCCTATCCCCCCCATTCCGATACACAGAAAACGAGAGAAGGAAAACATAAATAAACGTAGCCATCAATAGTTCAATTCTCTGTGCTTCTGCATGATTGTGCGGGGGGTGTAATGGTTGCTGGGCGGGGTGGGAGGACGTGGTCCTGGGCATGTGGACCGACTGCAACCGGCTCAACAAAAAACATTGCACATTTATTTCGCAATTTATGCCAGGGGAATCTCTTTCTCATATTACCCATACACGGCCAGATGCAACAGTAGCGTAGGAGTTTTCAGCAAAGGATTGTAGTTTTTTTCAAGGTACCTTTAACCGCTTCCTTTTTATTGCCGCCTCTGGGCCCAGCCACGATATACCGAAGGGTACATGTATTTAGTAAAGGTTTTAAATGTAAAGGTAAATAGTTTTCCAGCTAAAAATGAGATTAATAGACAGTTCTCATCACTCTTTTTTGCAGATCCTGGAACTACAGCATGGGTCATCTTGTTCTTTTGTATTTATTACATTATCATTCTATTGCCCAAGCGAATATACATATATTAAATAATCATGGAATTGCCATACTCCTTATTGTTGGCATATTATTGGTAAAATTTTGGTTTTGGTTCCATTTTAGAGATTCGCTGGCAAAGTCCTTGGGCCAAGATTTATTCTTCGACACTCACAAGGGAAAAGTGCAAACGAGAATGCCTGTGAATCCTCAAACAAAATGCGTGTTGTTGTTGGACTGCTCCCAGATATATGGATTAGACGGTGCTTTCTGGGACGGCTTACCTTTAGTTTAGTATACCTTGTGAGCAGACATAAGATTGGCAAATACAAAGCAATGGGAATGGAGACCAATGAATGCTGGGATACTTTGAACGCTAAATGTAGAACCCCCACCGGAGTCGACTACAACAAATAAAAGAAACATTCGAGCATAAAATGTAAAAATCAACAACCAACGTCGCCAGATGAGCTGGAAAATCGTCTCCACTGACAGCTCTGCCACTACATTGTGCAGACTTGAATGCGCCAGAGGAGAGGAACAGAAAAGAGATATTTCTTTGTGTTAACTAATTGCTTCGCCTGCCCATATCATCCATACATCCATCAGATACATTTCCAGATCCGACTGGAGAAATCCTTGTTTTGTCTTCTTCAGCTGTCGAAACAAAAGCCACATCATTCCACGACAAGGCCATAAACCTGCTGTCCCATTTACGCTTATCGTCTGTTGAGTTTCTTGCCATACAGCGCCTCCCTCATGCGCCACATTTAGATACTGATTCCCGGTTGCCGTGTGGCTAATAAACCTTGTATATTTTATATGCCCCCCAGCAGGAGGACGAGGACTAGAGGCATCGTATCACATTTTCATCAACGGGGAATCTATTTTATCGCACTCTTGCCCCCATTCACTGCCACCCATCTACATTTTATGGGGCCTGCAGCTATCCGTTCGTTCACATAACTCGTGGCGCCCACTATTTGTCTATTTTTACTGTCTGCCGAACTCGGTTTATGGCCACCTGTCGTCTGTCGTGTGTCCTGCTGTACTGTTATCCCCTTTTCCATCCTTCTATTGTGTGAATCTGTTTCTGGCAGACTTTTTTTCTGAATTAATTAAAGGTCACAAAGGTGGGCTTAAAGATAGTCAGAGGCTTAGAGTGCGTCAGAGAAATATTTAGGTCGCATCAATTTGTAGAAATGTCAACTATTCGAATAGTTATTGTTCTCGTAATCACATCGATCTTTTATCGATTCTGAACCCCTTTCGATAACATATTTTCGAAGCTGTAGAACCCTATATCTGCCAATGACTGCCACTCATCTGACTGCATTTGTGGTGACACTTCTTAGACATAGAGACATACTGCAGATGCTGCTCCATTAGGTTCCCCCAATCGATTTGGCCCACAGCTGAGGCAGTGAATGGACGGACGACTTCCAAACGGATGATGCGGATCAACAGGCAGCATCAACACAAAATCAAATTTTCAACCAAATTTGATTAGTCGTCACTTGCACTTGCAACAGCAAAGGCATCCATATCCCCCAGATGATGATGATGGGTGGGCCGCCCTTGTCTATCCCTTGTCCAGCTTGTGTGTGTGACCCGGACTTGAGTGAGTTCTTAGCAGACAGACGAGTGCGTGTCTCTCTGCTTAGGCAAAAGTGCTGAGATTGCGTAGGGTCCGGTCTGGTCTGGTCCGGTCCGGTCCGATGCCTGCATGGAGATGAGGAGCCGATGTGGGATGCTTGCAAAGAAATAACAAGATTTCACGCTTGATTTTCACATCAAAAACTGGATAAAGAAATGGGAAAAAATCCCTGTGTCGTGTGTCTGTGCAAATGAAACCAAGCAGCGAAGAGGAGGCGGAGGCAGTTCCTGGATTCAGTCTGGGATTCTCAATTGTTTTTCATTGTAAAAAATTGAAGTTTACAGAGTTTTGCATTTGATGGAGATAAAGTGGAGAGGTTCTGTTTTTTCTTTCGTTCTCATAAGAGAAATTGGTTTGCTTTTCTGTTTACTTGGGGTTGGGGCCTTCCATAGACTCCGATTTCAAGAGCTGGTGCTGGCGGATGTTCTGCTCTAGGGCCAGCAGCATTGCATCCAGAAAGTCGGACAGGAAAATCTTGCCATTCTCCTCGAAAAGTTCACTGGCGGTGTACTGGGCGTGAGCCAGCAGAGGCAGTTTTCGCAGGGTCCGACCGCTGAGGCCAACACTGCGCTCGGAAAGATCTGTGAGCAGTCCCTCCTCGATGTCTTCTGTCTCGAGGGCCTCGCACTCCACAATGCCCGCGGACATGAGCTCGACCAGCATGCTCTTGTAAATCGATCTGATGGCCGGCACGGCCGGATAGCCAATGTATTCGCGGAGATCGGCGCGATCCAGAAAGGCGAGATCGATGCTCTGAGCCAAGTTGGAGGTGGCCAGGATGAGCACATTGGGATGCGTCTTGATTTCATCCAGATGCGTCAGCAACGCATTGACCACACGCATAGCGTCGCGCGGTTCGTTGCTATTCATAGAACTCCGGGCATACGCCAGCGATTCCACCTCATCGATGAGCAGGCAGACCAGATTGTTGCGGTCCGCCACCAGCTCTCCGATCTTGGCAAAAAGTCGGGCCACCAGTTTGCCGCTCTCCGAAAACCACTTGGAGAAGAGGCTGTGGCTGTTTATCTCCACCAGATGTGTGTAGGCGAAGGCCTCATGCGTCCTGATGGCCAGTTTCTGTGCCAGGGCCTTGCAAAGGCTCGTCTTTCCAGTGCCAGGTGGACCATGCAGCAGGATCAGACGATTGCAGGCAATCAAATTCGTGTCCACGCGATGTTTCGAGAAGGTCAACGCAGACATGGCGAATTTCAACAGCTGCAAGCACCATAAAGATGAATAAATTGTGTCAATCCTTTACAGATAGAACATACCCTCTCTTTCAGACCCTTCTCGAAAATCAAGGTCTCCCACAAGCCCACAAACTTGTTGGATGGAAGCAAGACGTGATTAGCATCTACGACAGCCGCACCATCAGCATCGACGGCGCCATCGAAGAGACCAGAGTCTGCGGTTGCAGCAACTGCATGCGGCTTGTAGAAATGAAAGAACGCCTTCGTCTCCCCAGCGATCTCTGGCCTGCCGCCGCAGTCACGCTCCAGGAGCACACTGGCGACCAGCGAGGGGTCCGTCTCAACCAAGTCAGGCTTGAAGGCCACATTGTGCGGCAGGTTATTATTTGATTTCAAGAACGCGTTCACAGCTGGCGTCAATACAAAGCGAAGTGCCGGTATTGGTCTATTAAAAAGGAAACGATAAATCAATTAAACTGCAACAGGTGCTGGTGGTACTCACTGGTCGGTGCTGTTAAGCCGAACTTCGACGTGCGTTGCGCTCATGTTGCAATAATACGCTTATTTTGAAATTTTGCGGGAAACAAAAAAGGTTTAAACTAAAGACGCCACGGAAATGTGACCGTTCTCGACAAGCGAAAAAATGAAGCAAAGCATACAAATAAAAGTGGAATGGAATCTAGTATAAACATCAATACATTTATTGCCCATTATCACTAGTTTTAGTATTTGATTGTAGACTCGAGGAAATATTTGTTAAATTTCTTCCAGCCGTAACGCTGTTTCGGATCTTTTTTGCTCCACGACGGGCCCAGGTTGGGCATCAGACCCGCCTTCTGGGCCATCGTCACCAGGGTGCCCATTTTCTTCTGCTGGCGATAGCACAGGCCGGTGATGCGTCTGGGAAGCATGCATCCGTCGGATCGGACGTACTGCGACAGGATAAGCACGTCGGTGTGCTTGATATCCAGGCCCAGCGTGCATTCTGGGCAGAAGGTGGTCTGGCAGGCGGATTTTAGCAATTTCTCGGAACGCTCCGACTCTATGTTCACGCCCTCATAGGTCCTTACATTGTTTTCCTGTTTTTCTTGGACTGCAAGAGAATTTAGGGTTCCACTCAAAGGTTATGAAACAACCAATAGCACAAGCAGCTTACTCTCTTTTATCAGCTGCGGCGTGGTGGTAGCCACGCTCCGTGTCTGCCATAATGTGCTTCGGAGCGTGCTGGTAGCGACTTTCAGCAGAGAGGCCATGTTTTAGCGGGGTTTTATTTACAAATTTTATAAAACAAATTAAACCCAATTCAATGTTGTTGTGATGAATAGCTCGAGCGTTGCCACCTGCAGAAAACTCCAGAAATACGCGGACATGTGAATTGTGCTGAAATTACAGTGGATTTACGGTATATCGGTATATTTTGTCAATTTTATCAATCTATTCAATTTTATTTTCAACGGTACATAGAAATCCAATAGCAGCAAGTATTTAGAATAGGCCAGTTAAGTACAAAAGTGATTCACTAATCGGATAAAATTATGTGGGCATGGCTAGATATTCCATATAGCTAGTAATATTCGACGGAAGATCAAAAACGAAGAATATTTTCGAGTATTTTTCGGTATATTTGAAAAATAAGACGGTATATTTTGGTATATTTCTGACGGTCGGACCGTATATTTCAACGCATAGTCCGCGGTCACACTGAGTTACACATACAACAAAGACGCCGGCATCGAAATGTGTAAGCAAAACGTAGATTGGGGCGATTCTAATTTATTAAAGATAACACCATTACAGCTGCCTCAACTAGTAGCAAGAATACGCTTCTCTCTTCAATCATCTCTGGCATACTGAGCCTGGTTATCTTTGCCACACTCCGTTTCTGCGCCGACTGGTTCAATGGCTCACAATTGAATGTCTTAGTGGGCGGATACCTCTTCTCCTGGCTGTTCATTTTGAGCCTCACATGCGTGTCCAATGCCGAAATGCTGATTTTTGGCCCGGACTTTCAGGCCAAGCTGGTGCCGGAGATACTTTTCTGCCTGTCCCTCACGGTGGCCGCTGCGGGCATTGTTCATCGTGTGTGTGCCACAACTAGGTAAATAATAGACACCTTCTCCTTCCTCCCGCATATGTTTAGATGGTTGGGTATTCTTTCAGTGTTCTCTTCTCCCTGGTGGGTTTGTACTTTCTCAATCGAATCTCCATCAAGTATTATTCCACTTCTGTGGTTCCTGTGGATGCACCAGCACGAAAGACTACCAAGAAGTTCAAATGATGCCGCGACAATCATGAATCGAATCTGTAGCTTATGATTTATTTACTAATGGATAACATATAAACTATAATATAATATAATATATAAACTACGCGACTGTCTCAATGCCCGCCTCCGAGGTAGTTTCGTTGCTTTCTTCAGTCAAATATCTCAATATATTTTGGTCTATAAAACGCACCAGCTGTGGAGGTGTACGACATATAGATATGGAATATAATTTGCGCCGTATACATACCTTAAAACCCGTTTTACTTGAGAGGTTTGTGTGCTTCTCCTCAATCTTGTCGCGCAACGCCGTGAACCATTCCGAGATTTCTGCGGCTATGGGCGGCATCTGAAATCCCTGATAGCCGGCCTGCCTCAGCCCCAGATTACAGGAGTTTAATGCCGTCGAACTCATAAGCAAAGCAAAGGATTTGACTAGGATATACGTCTTACACAGGGACCAGTCCGCGAGGATTGTGTCTTGGTTGATTGATTGAACCATATCATATACCTCCCACAGCTGCAAAATAATTGCTATTAGGAAAGCATTGACCGGATTCCATTCGACTCACGTTACGATAAATGTGCAGAACTAAGGTGGTGTTAGACAAAGCGCCTATGAAGGCGCGCAGCAGTCCGAGGGCGATCATCTTGCCCGTGTCGCAGGCCACCAGTATGTGTGGCATGGCCTCCAGCATGTATATATAACCGTGCTCTTCTTCGCATGGTGTCAGCTTAAGGCTGTCCAGCATGGTAATCGTGGCATAGTGGATCATTGTGGGCTTCAGCGTATCAGAATAATTGAAGCTGGCGTTGAGCAGCTCCAGGCGTTCATCGAACTGGCGGGGACGCTCGTTTTCCGTCACCAGGAACATAAGAACGGACACCGTGTAGAGTGAGGCCACTTCCTCCAGGGTCAAGTAGTCCTCCAGTAATCTCAGAAAACCCTGCCGGAGCTGCATTAATTGATAAAGTGATAATTTAATCAAGGAAATCCTTTAGGTTCCATACCTTGCCCACATTTGAGTCGATCTGTGCTTCCACACAGAAGCTGTAGCGCTGAAGCGCTCGCATACGCAAGATAACTTCGCGGAGCTGCTCATATTTAAACCCAGGAACACTCAGTTCTGGCAAATCTGATTTTTTTTCTTCAATCATTTTATCAAAAACAAAAAATTACAGCGCCAGGCCAGATGTAGAGGTGGTCACACTTAACTTTCTTTTTTTGTGGCATTTCTGTACATCAACAAGCGGGCACACTATTTATGTCAGTGCTGCCAACAGAATATTGTTTTTGTTTTCTCAATCATTTGAAAAACTAGCAGGATTTTCAAAATAATAATAGCTAAAATATATCCAACATTATAAACAAAAAATCGACACAGCTTTTACGGCATCTCATAATTACAGTTTCCAAATTTTTTAATGCGGGACAGTTTTTTACACAGATAACAGATTTTCAAAGTTGTCTGGCAATCTTAGAAGTAGCCGGATCTAGCTTTAAAAGAGCTGTATTACCAGTGGTGGTTAAACGCACTAAATTGTATTTACGGTAAATCAACAAGCGGGCACACTTTTTGCAGCTCTATCTATTCCAAAAAAACTCGACCGCGACAAAAAAAGTCAGCGACAAAAACAGCCCAAAAAGCTACTCAAAAGTTACTTTTATTCCAAGCAAAACAGATTTTTTTGTTTTAATCGTAAGTACCGAGTCAAATTTATACCTATTATTAAGCCCAGATGCACAACATATCTCGAAAGTGAGGGAATCAAATTTTTCATTTTGCGATTGACGGCCATGTCTCTTTTTCTTTGTCGAAGAAAAAGGTTATGTACGAATTGGTATGTATCATACATACACATGCATTCATACATACATAATAATGTATAAACGAGGTTTAGTCATCAAGTAGCGGCAGCCATTCACGCAATAAACCATTTAGGGACAGTTGTTACGCCTTTGTTCGACTGTACCCATGCATATACATATGTACATTATTTAATAAAAGCCACAAAAATATGCATACTCTGGCCCCTTGTCCCTCCCTCTATTCTATTCGTGTAGTATGACAAATGTTGCTTCAAAATGGCGCCGAACCACATGTCTCTTCGTTATCGTCTCTCGTCGAACGGTTCGGCACGATTCGTGTATGTCATTCGCTTTCTGAATTTCATTTAACAAAGTGGTGCGCGCAGGCCAGCACCGGGGGCGCTGAGAACTTGAAACAAACATAATACTTAGTAACCGATTGTGATAGCTGTTAAAAATAGAATTCCGGACAAAGTCTGAAATTCAAATTCACAAAATTGTAACTACTAAACACAAATTCGAAAACATAAATTCCGTTAGGAAATTCTCTCTTCGGCCTCTGTCGACACTGTGGCTGTGTGTGTGTGCGTGCGTGTCAATTTTACAGTGCAATAAAACTCGTAAGCTACAAAAGACCGTAGTCGGCGAAAACGAAATATTATATTCTACATCTGCTCTGCCTCGATCTGTGTATGTCTGCGTAGTACGTGTGTGTATTGGTAACCGCTGTGCGAGGTTAAATTAAATTACATATTTTAAAACGCACACATACGCAGACGAACGGCTGTAGCTCTCTCTTTAAATTGTGAAAAGCAACAGGCACACACGCACACATACTCACTTAAATTCTCCCTTGAATTACACAAATCAGCCCCTCTCCACCTTCAATAACTGACGAGGACACGCGGAAGCGGCTAAAAGGCCAAACTTATTTCCGTTAAGCGAAAGTGTAAGTTAACGTACGTCTTTGTTAAATTTTTCTTCTATCTCTATGTATTCGCCAATTGAATTTGTACTTGGAAACGACTGCGTATTTTCCATCTTTTTGCGTTTCTGCGTTTGACAATTTCCACTCTTCCCACCCCCCAACCAACGGGAACACACGCACACAGTGGCACAAAGGTACGAGTGTGTTTTGTATGTACAATGACCTCGTTTCCCTTGCTCCGAGCTCAGCCCGAGCTGCTCTACCAGTAACAACGTCAAAAATTTCACTTTATTCTTTACTGTTTCTTTGTCGAATTTCGTGTATAGGCTGGTTTATTCCCTGCCCTGCTTTTGCATTTTTTCTTCTTTAATTTCTCCGCTTTTTCAGTGGTTCTTCTCTTGATGGTTTTCTGTACTTCTCGCCTTACTTTTTCTGTCGTTCTTCATCTCCGTTCGGCTCTCAGTGCTTCTTCCTTTGCTCGCTTTGCTTTCCCTTGTTCTTCTTTAGGCATTATCAAACTGTAAAAAGATTGTGTGTCCGTGTGTGAGTATTTGTGAGTGTTCGCGCGCGCTCTCTTTCTTTCTCTGTCTCTCTGCCCTCTAGTGCTTTTGGAAGTGTGTGTGAGTGCGAGTGACGGAAAGCACATGTACACTCGGGCAGGCGAGGATTTTTAGGTTAGACAGCATTTCAAACTCAGCAGCATTTAACACAACAATAACGTCTGACTAGCAATTCGAAAGCTAGTACTTGGCAATCGATCTTGTGACCTTGCTCATATACTCAACTAGTTTCAAGTTGAGCATTTAACTGAAATAATCACTAAATTAACTGTTAACCGTTTACACGTATTATCTATTGTGCAGCAATTTATTGTATGAGTCAAAAAATAGAAAGACCAGTGCTATCGGGTCAACGCATCAAGACCAGAAAAAGAGATGAAAGAGAAAAATATGACCCAACGGGATTCCGTGATGCGGTCATTGCTGGTCTCGAAAAAACTGATGGCGACTTGGAACAAATCTCTAAATATCTAGACATCGCGGGTAACAAGCTCGACTATCGTCGCTACGGTGAAGTTCTCTTCGATATATTGATTGCGGGTGGTCTATTAGGTAAGTCTCTTATAATTGCTGGAGTCTAAGAGCTATACAATTTCTAATATATCTTTATTTCAGTGCCTGGTGGTTCCATTAGTCAGGATGGCGAAAAGCCGCGCACAAATTACTGCATCTTTGATGCCCCCGAGAGCATGGAATCCATGCGCAACCATGAGCAGGTTTGTAGATCATTGCATATCCCAGCTGAACCGAACCGATCCGATCCGATTCCAGTTTGTGTGTGTGTTGTGTGCATATAATTAGAACTGATTACAAGCTCAAAAATGTAGTCGGTGTCAGATTATGCCACATGGAACGCCACATATTTACTTGTCTTTGGTTTGTTGTAGACAATCTAACGATCCGAAGATTTCTTATGTGTCAACAACAGCTTCTATAGCTGCAAAGTATATATAATACACAGTACACTCCACACCTGGAAGGTCACCTTTGCTTCAATTGCATATTATTAGAACCGGTTATCCATCTAAACGATGTAATTGGTGTCAAAATATGCAACATGAAAAGCAACATTTTACTTGTCTTTATTTTGTGTAGATAATAAACCAACAATCTAAAGATTTCTTTTGTTGCAACAAAACTAAAAATAATTGTCGAAAATAATGATGTACAGATGTAAAGAACTCCCAGTTAATGTGAATTTTTCTATGTTTTCAGGTATTTGTTAAGCTCATCAGACGGTACAAGTACCTTGAGAAAATGTTCGAAGAGGAGATGGGTAAAGTTCTATTATTCGTAAAGGGCTTTACTCCAAGTGAACGCATCAAGCTTGCGCGTATGACTGCGCTCTGGTTAGGTAAGTCTTCGTATAACCCTTTAACTCTCGCCTCAAAGCCCAGCCAGCGTATCCTAGAGTCGAGTCTAGATAGACCCTCGTTCGACTTGCAGCTGAGATTGGGCTAAAGAAAAAGTTACTCTTGGTATACTGACTCTTGGATGCAAAATTTAACCAAATCCAAAAGCCACGAGCCCAAGGACAAGAAGAAATCCTTCGTCCTATCTCTATCTATTTGAGAAATTCGAACCTAATATATTTGTATCCTTAGTTAATGGCTCTGTACCGCCAAATGTGTTATTGGTACTAAACAACGAGCATCTGATCAAGGATGGCATTGCACTGGAGTTTCTACTGGAGCTATTTCAGACGTTCAAGCAAGAGAAGGGCATTGCATATCTGATTCAGGCGCTTAAGAAGGGTGGACTGGAAAGCAAGTAAGTTTTAAATTTAGACTGCAGTCTGTTATGGAATGTTCTCAGGAAGATGTTATAACCATTCAGTTGTGTATCTTTAATTGATGTTCCTAGAGTAAATTTCGTGGAGTTTTATTTATTTCGCAAATGAACTATGGCTTCATTTGGGTGTCGATTTAATTTCGTACAAATTCATAAGATTATTTGAGAATATTTTATTTCGTATTCTACTGTCATCTAAGTCCAAGTATGGAATGTTCTCAGGAAGATGTTATAACCATTCAGTTGTGTATCTTTAATTGATGTTCCTAGAGTAATTTTACGGAGTTTATTTATTTCGCAAATGAACATTGGCTTCATTTGGGTGCCGATTTAATTTCGTACAAATTTATAAGATACAATGACATATATCTATAAGATAATTTGCTCACAACATTTATTAATGGGCATGTCCTCTTGTTTCTTTCACTTTAAGACTTATGGACTTTTTCCCACCAAACAAACGTACTGAGGAATATTTTAAACAAGTTTTTCTTGACAAGGAACTCAATGAGATCATCAAGCTGCACAAGGCCCAGGCTAGCCAGGAGGCTAAGCGCGAGCTGCAGCAGACCCTCATCGATGATATCAACGATGAGAAGGCACACAATGAGATAACCGCTGACATTAAAGAGTTTTCGGCACGCAACAACATTCCCGATCATGAGATAATTGTTATTGTAAGTCAATCGAGAACAAACGATTGATTGACAGCAGGAGTTTAATCGTTTCATTTTTGTTTGGTCCAAAGATTTGGTCTACCATCATGTCGTTGGGCGAATGGAACAAGAAGGAGGAGCTGGTCACCGATCAGGCTGTTCGTCACTTAAAGACATACTGCACTTTGTTGCAGGCATTCGCCTCAACAGACCGCTCGGAATTGGCCCTGATCCTGAAGGTGCAGGAGTTCTGCTATGAGAACATGAACTTTATGAAGGCCTTCCAGAAGATCATATTGTTGTTCTACAAAACAGAGGTCCTCTCCGAGGAAATCATCTTGCGCTGGTACAAGGATGGTCATTCCAACAAAGGCAAAATGCATTTCCTCGAACAAATGCGCAAGTTTGTCGAATGGCTGCAGTCAGCCGAAGAAGGTAAGGATATATTTTATAACGAAAGTGGGGTTCGATATGAGTGCAATTTTTGAGAATGGTCTTGTCCTGGATGGCACTTTCATTGTACAAAATTGCAAGAGCATTTGGGTTTTTTGCTTGCCTCGTTGCTCCAAAAGAAAAACCAGAGCAACGTAGGCCAATGAAAACCTGGACAAAATTATGGTATTCTTTGCAGCGTGCCTCTAACCAAAACCTTGGAGTGCTACAAATCTCATTGAGCACAATTCCAGGAGGTTAAATATCGGTAATGCCAGAGCAAATGAATGATTGGGTGTCCATATAACTTTTCATAGTTACATTTGGCCAATAATCATTTGGACAGAAAACTCCAACGTAGCAGAATTCTGTGCCGCCTATTCTCCCAAATAAGTATCCGCTCCGAACATACTCCAACGTTCGTCGTAGTCATGAGGATTATATGCCAACCACATTAGGTTTTAGTCCTGCCTCGCTGTTTCATATAAATTTATCTGGACAAAATTATTGTATTACATTTGGCGCATGCCTCTAACCAAGATCTTGGAGTGCCACAAAACCCATTGTGCACAATTCCAAGAGGTTAATTTCGGTCATGCCAGAGCAAAAGAATGATTGGGTGTCCATATAACTTTTCATAGTTACATTTGGCCAATAATCATTTGGACAGACACATCAAATATGACTAAACCATTATTTTTAAGAGATCTCTGGAAACTTTTGTTCACTTTTTACATGTATTTTTTGGCTTTTTTCCAGAATCCGAATCTGAGGACGAACAAAAGAATGGCGATTAACACATTTTTGGTTAACGAAAAAGAGCATGGCTAGAAGGAACAACACAAACGGAGCCGCCTGTCCCAAATCCAAACCATCCACACACCAGACACACACACACACCACAGTGCTCTCGATAGATTTGCATAGATAGTCTCCCCAAGTCTTCCTCCACCCAAGTCAATGGCGAAGAGAGAGAGAACTTCTAAATTATTGTTCAACAAAACTCACCCACAATCCTCAATCGTTCTCGATTTGTGAATGCAATATATTTCTTAACTATACAAACAGGAAACGGATAGCATTGTGTTAATAAAGGTTTAAAGATTTACAATTATGTACCAAAAAAAAATTATCACCACACACAGGAGAGGCATCTCGAACAAGAAATCAGTAAGAATTGCACGCACTGTAATCTATCAAACTGGAGATCAAGATAATATGTATGTACCAGGGGAGCATAGCATACAAGATACATATATTCCTTATGTTGTAAAATGAGCTGCAGGCCCGTTTGTATGTTCGTATTATTTATTTAAAAATCTACCCCCGGCACATATGCATATATATTAAAAAGAAATGGAAAAAAGTTATTAATATTCATCTACGAGAGCGCGGCGCCAAGCCAGTATGGAATTTGACGAGGTTATCTTCGAAATAAAGATTTGGAAAAGATGATTCAATATATGACTGGCATGCAAGGCCACCACCAGTTTCAACGCAAATTATTATGTGAACAGAGCGTATGGAATTACGAATATTTTAAATTGCATGAAATTGTATGTATACAACAAATAAATGAAATACAACAAATGTGACGGATGCGACAATTGTTTTTTTTCTGGTAGTGAAATGGAAAAATTTTTCAAATATATTAGTTTAGTTTACAATGCCACCCCCAAAACATGTGGGTATACTTTTCCCACAGCCTGTATATACATACGAATGTATTTACACGATCGATCAGCGCAATATCGATATCGATACTAGAAATAGTCACAAAGTGTGACCAGCCCAAATTCATTCGTAGAAAAATATTTAGGAATACATGATATAAAAAATAAACACTATAATCACAAACCATACAGTATACTGTATGGTTAGTGCTATAATTGATCGTACTTTTTATTTTCAATTATGCGACGAGTCTTGTAATTGGCGACACAACAACAAAGTATAAATAATAACACTTTGCAGCACTGTTTTTGCGCCACGAACAAAACTTGTTCGGATCAATTTGAGGTTTTGAAAATGTTTAATGTATTTTTTTGTGTATTGATGGTATTGTTTATGGAAATGTATGGATAAACGGCTAAGGTGCAGCCGTTTGACCAAACCCCCAAAAATCGTATTTTCTGGTATCTCTGGCTCAGTGTCGTTTTTTACTTTTCTCGGAATACGACACAAGAATTAATTTTTGAAAACTATGAAATAAAAAGCATGTTTCAATCAAAAATTTAAAGTCCCCATATCTATCAGAAAAAGTCGGTTTCGTGGAGTAAAAAAAGGTGGATTTTGTTGTCTAGTGTAATTAGCTAACGCAGCAATCAAGTGTCACGTGGAAAAGGTTACAGTAGTCAATCGCTTATGAGAACTTGAAATGGAATCAGATATTATATTCAACGGAGTTAGCCGCAGGTCTTGACGATAGCGATCTGCTTGATTAATTGTAATATCCCACACGCTAATTTTAATGATATAAACAAAAATAGAATGTACGGAGGACTAACATACAGTAGTACTTGATGGTCTTAAAGTCTCTGGAAAATTTAAATTTAAATAGTTCCTTGGGCCGGTTTCTTAGTTTTTATATTTGAAGTGTTGGGAAAAAGGGCATAGGCGTTTACATATCTTAAAAGTCGCTGATAAGGCAGGGGGGAAGTCCATAGCAACAATCCGTCGTTACAATGAGTAAAGTTGTCGCTCCGCTACCCAATTTTATTCCTTGGAGTGCAAAAAGTTTTGGATTCGCTTAGTTTAGTTTTTGGAAATACTGTTTTTATTCAACATAAATTTTGTTTAAAAGTAATTTTTTCTTGCATTTCTCGTATTTCATTTAATGTATATAGTACTCGATGTTATATAATAACGCATATGCTATTTGTTTGTATTTTTGTTGTTGCTAAATTTGTAGTTGCTAATCATCGTATTTGAACAATTGCAATTGGTGTGTAACTTGGTTAAAAATGAGCCTGGAGAATAGAATACACTATGAACGACACAAACTTCACAAATTATTTGAGAGCATGATATGATGCAGGTGCAGGTGCAGTGGTGGCAAGTGGCAGATCGCGAGTCAGCAGCAGTTCCATAAATTGTTTCAATCTAATTTCCATTTTTTTTTGTAGTTTTCTTTTTTATATATATGTTTTGTTTAGTTATCTTTTAGTTAAGTGTATATAGTTATGGTTTATGTAGAGTGGAAGCTGGATTTGAGGGTCAACAAATTTAGCTACTTCTGGGCCGTACTTGGCAATACTTCATTTCGTGTTTTCGTTTCGGTTGGGGTTTTGGGTGCGTTTTTGCGTGCTTTTGCGTGGTAACTGTGTATTCTCGTTACGCGTCCAACAACAGACATTGGATGATATTTGTGTGGTTCCTGTGCCAGTGGCTGCTGCGCAATCGTACGTCACCTTCGGTTCAGCGAAATCAGACCGATATCCGATCCGATTTCGGTGTTTCCGCAGGCAACAATGCTGAGTGTACGGTTTGCACAGACTGCCAGTGGCACCTGTGGCTTCTGATGCTGCTGCTATTACTGCTCCACACTCACTGCTGCACATGAATAATTACAAACATAGACACACATAGATGCATATAAAAGTGTTCAACAAAGACTATAGACGACAGAAATTAATGTACAATAATATAGTAAATAACGCAAAGAACAGGGGAGGGAGGGGGTTCAAAAATCAAAGGGCAGGAATGTATGCAAAAAAATTTCAAAAGTGTATGCGCCTGTGTTCAGCAAATATACATTTAGGTAAAAAAAAAAACGAACAAACTTTAACAAACTCGTATTACAAGGCTCTTTTTTTCGTATGCTGATAGGATTTTGTGTATGCCTAAAATATATATATGTATATAGTAATTATTGGCATACATATATGTAAATGTTGTGGGCGTATGGATATCTCATATAACTGAAGACCGAATGGGGGTTCTGAGTGTGTTTCAGTATCACTCAGAACTATACAGAGACAACGGCAATATAATTTATAATTGATTGATAATACAATCCCTACATAGACACCAGACACCAGGTTTGGCCATGGCCTTCCATGAGGATCGGTTTTACGTTGATTTTTTCATTATGCTGTGGGTGGAGTGGAGTTTTTAAAATTGAACTTTTCCTGCTGGTATTATTGGTTGGTTTTTCTTCTTCACTTCATCTGCATGCACTTAACAATTTAATCGGTGAATTTGCGGTTGACATTGCGGCCGAACAGGGCGTTACGGATCTCTGGCACAAGCTGCTGGGAAATCAACTCTAATCTGGACTCCAGCGTGTTTGGCACCTACAAGCAAATAATCTCAAATTGAAGACAAATACAATTTTAAAGTTATGAGAAGGATTCCAACCTTAATGCGTCCGTTGAGGGCCAACAGCTCCACACCACCGCAGGTATCAGCAGAGAGGAAGTTAATCTCGTCAATGTGGAGATCGACATTCTGTTTCATTTGGGCCTTGTACTGTTCCACAGCTTGGGGCAGAATGTCGCGGACCAGCGACACATCGACTTGGCGGCAACGCAGTGTCACCTTGGGCTCCATCACCTGGAAGAGGCCCTGGACAATCAGCTTGGTCACGACGGCCTTGTATTCGCTTTCGTTCTTGGTGACCTCGCCCAGACGTTTACGGGCATCATCCAGGACATTGCTCACATGATCCTCCCGCACTTTCAGTACCTAAACAACACACAGAGATGGGTTTTTATGGAATCGATTTAGCGGGAAGGCGGGACACCGCACACACCTTCAAGCGAGCCTGGTTGAGCATGTTGGATGACTGGATTTTCTTCTGGAGTTCCACCTGTTTCTCCTTCTTTTCGTAGTACTCCATGATCTTGAGACGCTGCTGCTGGACGAGGCGTCCTTTCTCAATGTTGAACTCCTCCTCGGCTTTGGCATCGATCTCCTCGGCTTTTTCATTGGCCTCCTGCTCAATGAACGCCATCATGTGTTTGATCTGAAAATTGCATTGATAAGAGTATTCGAATCACAGGCCATTACATTAACAATTTGTTCAAATTTCCAGTTCTTTTTTTCCCCCAATTATTTATTTAGTTTTCTTGAAAGTTTTCGTTTTTTTCGGCTGATAACGTAAGGGGGATGGTGGGCGGGGGGTGGGCTGGTCGTGTGACAGAGAGTGTGGAGGGGCAGCATCGCAAACACCCACTAGTTGTCTCGCTTCAACACACGGTACTCAATGGTGGAGCCCATGTCACATGACCAACACGAATTTTTGTACTCACTTTTTGCGTAGAGTATTTGAATTAATAACCAGCATTTTTACTACACATTAGGTTTAATTCAACAAAATAGGTTGGCATTGTACAAGTGATAACCAATGAGGCGGACAGACAATGGTCAATAGGAATGTGCTGCCATGAGAAATTCACATGACTTCGAATCATTTTGGATCCCATGACTTCGCCATCTTTTTGGTTGATTGCATATTAAAGACACAATTTCCACTAAAACCCTCCCTTTGCACAGGAACATGCTAAGTGCCTTTACCCCAAAATAGTACATTTAATCATTTTGATCTCCTATTTACCTGTTTCTGTACATCAGCGTCGCTCAATGCCATCTTGACTGATTTTTTCTCACTTGCACAAAACGGAAAGGAAATTCAACTGTTCCAAAGAAATCCACGTGTGACCGTGCCTGTAATAGTTGTAATTTCAATTTAATTTATATGCTCCGTGAAATTTTTAAGGTGCAACTCCAGAATATACGAGGAATCGTCGAAAACAATAAGTTACTTTTCTGCCTTCTGCCCGACGTCTGTCTGGAAATTTTTTCACTGCAAATCGATCATATGATTTTTCAGTGTGACCGCGGATATTAGGCCTGCATATGTATAATATAACTTGAATTCGTCAGTATATTTGCGGTATTTTAAAAATATATTTTATCGATAAGAGGTAAAAATTTTATTTTGAAATCGATAAAATAGAAAAAATTCAATCGATAAAAAAATTTAAAATTTTTGAAATTTTACATTTTGCTGTGTACTTTGTCTAGTTTGTACCAACATCGAGGAATATGATTTCCGATCGTGGGCAGAGGCCGATAAGCCCATTGTCGACCAGTGACTATTAAATCTACACACGAATATTATGAAACTTGTGGAATTTAAGCGTAGTTGTGGTATTGTTTTTTTTGTTGTTGTAAATTTGCAAACTCCGCGCATTAACTCAAGGGGGTAAAATGGTCTCCACCACAGTGACCGTTTTCGGTATTTTTTGAGGTAAAAATTGAGCCGAATGTATAGTTACGGTATAAATCTATAAAATGTAATTTAATTAAAGGTATATCTAAGAACACTCATCATTTATTTCAGTGGATTTCATATAAAACCATTTCGCTCATTCACTTTCAAACTATTTCTATTTGGTGGTCAAGTTTGGTGGGACTTGCTCTCTTTTTTATTTTTTTTATTTCCTCTCCTTTTTTGTGATGGGATATCCTCTCTTCGTAGAGGGATTTTTTCTCGCCACAATGTCCCTTTTAGCTCAACAATGTCCCCACATTCCATATCCACTTACGTTTGTTGAACGTTATGTTGAACAGCATTGTCCCTCAACATTGCGCGGATTCAGCAACATTTTGCATACCCTGGGGAAATGGATATTATAGAATTGTTGAAATCGTAAAGGTATTTCAATGACATTTTGCAGCATATTATCTTCTTAAAGAGACCAAGAGTCTTTCTTAATTATGTTTCAAAACAGCTTGGAAACAGTATCTACATACGGTATAAAAATTCCCCTACTCCAGCTGACAAGCTACTAGTAAGAAATTACATGACCTACGTTATAGGCTTGTTATAGACAAAATAATTTGAAAATGCGTACTTAAACGTAACTTATCTTGTAGAAAATTTATTCATCAATGGCCTAAAATTATGTGGGCGGAGCTAAGGGTTTTAGTTAGTCAGCAATATTCAACAGAATATCAAAAAAGAGAGATATGTAGAATGTAACTTGGATTCGTCAGTATATTTACGGTATATTTTTTGAATAGGGGTATATTCTTGTATATTTCTGAGGGTCCGTATATTTGATGAATGAACATGCGGTCACACTGGTCTTCACAAAAAAAAAAACACGGCCGCCGCAGCCGCAATAATACAATTTTTAAAAAATCGGTTGCAACGGTTAAATGCACAATTAGTGTTTAGAGCATAAAAGTTTTCTTCCGCTGAAAAATCGCCAAAAATAGAGCCCGCCAATCGAGTGTTTCAAATATTGTGCAAGCATCTACACAGGAGAAAAGAGAAAAGTGCATTAAGGCTGCTGCTGGCGCGGTCGCTGTTGCAGGCCCAGAGTCAATTCCGATTTTCTTTCGACCAAATCGTGTTCGTAGCAGAAGGAAGCCAACGCAACGAACGGTGGTTGGGTGATAGAAACCAGTTAAACCTAACGAAATTCAAGCGAGGAAAGAGCTATAACTAATCGACACAATGGGTCTCAAAGGCTGCTGTTCGTGCGTCAAATATCTGATGGTCCTTATAAACATTTTATTTTGGGTATGTTAATTCGACAACAACAAATGCGAGAAGAATCTTCTTGCCTTTGCAGCAACAACAACTGGAACACACACACATTTGCAAGAGCAGTGCTGGAGAGTGTGTGTGTGTTTGTGTATGTGAGAGAGAGAGGATTTTGTGTACATGAGAGCGTGAATGTGAATGGAAGTGCGTGTGTGTTTGTGTTTGTGTATTCCCTACGCCCTCTTGTGGGGCCATGTCTCCGCCTGGCAGCCGCGCGCACGCTCTCTGCTTCTCCTCCTACAGGAGCCGACTCCCGCTCAGAAATGGCAAAACACAAAGATTGCAAAAAGACGCTAGATTGGTAAAATAATATTAAAAGAGAGACTAATAGGAACCGTTTGTAGTGTTGTAAAAAATTAGTTTGTAATTGGAAATAAATGGATAAATAAATACAGCTAGAGAGGTAAACTAATAGAAAAAGTGATGAATGGTCCAAATATTGTGTGAAGAAGTGAAAAACTTCTCTATTCGAAAAAAATTAAGGAAATAAATCTATTGACAACCTTTCGGTATCTTCTTTACAGTACCAACTCCAGACTACAATAACGCTTAATACACTTAAATAAATTAGATGCATCCTTATGTTGTTTTCATTATGAAAACGTAAACGTAAATCATAGCCAAATTTCTTTTCAAAAAAGTCAAAGCGACGTCTTCAATCTTTCAAGGCAAAAAATGTTGCAGAAATGTCAAAAAATATAATTTAATATATAAATATATGTGTAAATAGATTTTTGAATCGAGTTTTGTTTGTATGTAATAAAAATATGTAAGCTTTTTATAAAACAAAGGCAGGTCTTACTTAAAAAAAAGCTAGAGCGATATCTCTGCTCCCGGGTTCTCACAGAACTCTCTCTCTCCCCCTACTTCTTACTCCCATAAACAATAGAAGTTCCGCTGTGGGTGAGTGGGAGAACGAATGACATGCACACGCACACCCACACCCACGTATACATGAAGGCAGTTCGAAAGAAAGACAGACATCTAAAGCATAGCATCGCCCCATCTCCTTCCACCTACTCTACCGCGGCTCCCCTGCCCAGGCCCCACCACACACGTTTGTTCAGTTGTTGTTTTTCTTTGGACTGCCTTTTCCTGCTGGTTTTTCTATTTTTTTATTTTTATTTTTATAACGTTTACGTGAGTTTTCAGTCGAGTTAAATTCTTTACCAACTTCTTTCTGTCTTTTCTTATCAGTGGGAAAGGACCCAATGTTGGTCGCCCCACCCTTTCGTCACACCTCTGCATGGATTCTGCCTCTACTTCACCCGCTTTCCGATAGGGTTCTTCTGTGTTCTATTTGTTTGGAATTTTACGCAATTTCATGGGTTTCAACATTTCGTTGTTTCTGTTTCAATTGTTTCATTCAATTATTCTCTCCCTCAAATGTGTGTGTTTGTGTGTGTTTGGTTTGTTTTCCTCTGTAGATTCTCCTTCTTTTCTTTGCTTTCGAAATCAGTTTCGCTTTTTGAAATTTTGATGCTTTTGTTAAATGTTTTTAATTTTTATTTTTTTCTGCTGATGGTTGTTGCCTTTTTTCGATTTCTGTCTATAGTATTTATTAGTCAAGAGCTATTTTCGAAAACGGCGGAGAACCAACAATAACATGGACGTTCCGTGTATGCGCTGTTCTTGGTCGGGCGTTGTGTATTGGTATTGGTATAGTCGCTGCGCTGCTTTCAGAGCGATCCCGCCTTTGCATAGTGGGGTGTGTTTGATTTCCATTGGGGAAAATAATTAAGAACGAAATATTCTTTCCGGTGGAAAGAAGTACCTACAGTACATCGCTATTTCAACATTTCCAAACGATGTCTATGACGTACTATGACAGAAGCTCATCCGTAGTCTCTCATCATTTTTATATGTGCACATCCCACTGTGGCTAGCTCTGAAAGCGTTTCCATTTCCATCGTCGCTGCGGGGCATCGTGATCAAACGCCACGATCCCGACGCTGCCGTCATTGAGGCTGACAGTGACCAAAATGTTGCCTTTGCCTGCTGCTGTTCGTTTTTTGGCCATCTGACAAGGCTTGCGTCTCATTAACCCGGGAGCCACCCGTCCACCCACCGGCACACAATTAATTTAGTTGCCATCTCTATTTTTCAACCCATACATACTATCTATATAATTAATTTCTGCTATTTTTCACTCAATTATTCATAATGGGAATCTATTCGTTTGGCGGAATGCATTCCATTGTAATTTTGTGGCTTTAAAAAGCCGTTGCATGGCATGGATTCAGTCAATGGGGAATGCGGGGACAAAACGGCGACTGGACATGCAAAAGGCTGCCACAGCGCTCTCTTTGCCCTGGTCACATTCTCTCTGTCTCCCTTCGGTCGTTCTCACGCTCTCTTGAGCACTCAAAAGTAGGTCACCAAAGGACTTTGCACATTTATTAGCCCGCTCGTTCGTTTTGTTTGTTATGGACACGCGACATCGTGTCTGATGTGTATTTACCAAGGCGTGGATTCAATTCTCGAAACATTTCAACATTTTTACGAGGGGCTGTGGACTTAGTAGAGCATTCCATTTTTTACTCTGGAGAAACATAAAGTTATCTATGCTCGTTTTTTATATTACTCTGCAAACGGCCCTCGCATGTGCAACTTTGTATAACATTTCCATCACCATTCTCCGTTAGCTTTCACACACATACACACCCACACAGTCTCCAGCTCTTTCATATAATGCATTTTAGTGTGACACAGTTTTTGTCTCGCTCTCTCAATTGCCCTCGCAATATTGTAGTTCTCTCGCCGCTGAACTTTTGTTTTGTCTTCTCATGGACCACCCGCATGGAGAGCTTGGCTTTGGCCTCTCTCATTACGTTTGAATGAAATTTGCGGTACTTTAAGTTTTTGCTTTGTATTCTCTCTCTGTCTCTAGTGCCATTATTTGTTACCCTTTGGGAGGTTAGGCGCCAAAAATGATGTGAGAACTTCTCCGAACCCAGTACACTACGGGACATATGAATAGTTCCTTTATCACTTTAGCATTTACTATTGTGCGAAGAGAAATAATAATTGCGAGATCTGCTGCGTAATCTTATCAAGTAGCACAGATTGTATGCCATGCTCCAGACTTTGGTTCAATTTCGAAAGATAC